GCATGCTGGACGGGACAAAACCGTGGAAATAGCTTGCGGAGAGCTTCGCTGGAGGGAGCGAGACAACATGCTGGACGGATAGGAAACCTTGAAAATAGTTTGCGGCAGAGCTGTTGGCACGGGTTTTTTCAGGACAAATGCCATCATTGCGATTGGCCTGAAAAAATTGTGGACCCAAGACTGGTCAAATGGTCCCAAGACCGGTCAAACGGTTTGCAAAGGCTGAAAAATGGGACATGCACAGAGAAGCTTTTACACAAAAAAAGCCTTTACACAGAAACTTTGACACACAGACGTGTTTACAGAGACACAGAGGAGTCTTGACACAGAAGCCTTTACGCACAGAAGCTTTTTTGCACAGAGTAGCTTTTACACACAGAAGTCTTTACACAGAGAAGTCTTGAGACAGAGAAGCCTGTACACACAAAGGCTTTTACAGAGAGAAGCCTTTCGCACAAAGAAGTCTTGACACAGAGGAGCTTTTACGAGAGAAGTCCTTACACAAACGAGATTTACACGCAGAAGGTGTTACAGATAGACGTTCTTTCGGCGCACAGAAACTTTAACACAGAGCAGCTTGTACACACAGAAGCTTTTACACAAAAAAGCCTTTACACAGAGAAGTTTTTCACACAGGAGCTTTTGCACAAGAAAACTTTTACACAGGAAAGCTTTTACACACAGAAACTTTCACACACAGAAGCTTTGTACACAGAGAAGTCTTTGCACAGAGGAGCTTTTGCACACAGAATCTTGTACACACAGACGCTTTCACACACACACAGGAGGTTTTACAAACAGACAACTTTACGGCGCACAGATTTTTTACACAGAGCAGCTTTTACGCAGCGAAGCTTGTACACACAGGGGGCTTTTTTACACAGAAGCTTTTACATAAGGTTTTTTTTAATACACAGAAGCTTTTACACACAGAAACCTTTACACACAGAAGCTTTTACACACAGAAACTTTTACACACAGAAGGTTTTACACACAGAAGCTTTTAACACAAAAAAACCTTTAAACAAAGGAGCTTTTACACACAGACGGGTTTACACAGAGAAGTCTTTAGGGAGGCGTTTACACAGGAAAGAGTTTACACGGAAGCGTTTACACAGAGTAGTTTTTACACAGAGAAATCTTTACACAAAGAAGTCTTGACACAGAGAAGCTTGCACACACAGAGGCTTTTACACACAGAAGCCTTTTACACAGAGCGGCTTTTTCACAGAGGAGCTTTTACACAGAGGAACTTTTACACAGAGAAGCTTGTACACTCAGAGGCTTTGACACAGAGAAGTCTTTTACACAGAGAAGCTTTTGCACACAGAAGCTTTACACAAACAAAACCTTAACACAGAGGAGCTTTTACAGACAGAAGCTGGTACGCAAAGAAACTTTCGCAAACAGAAACTTTTACACACAGAGCGCGTTTTACACAGAAGATTTTACACACAAGAGCTTTTACACCAAAAACCTTTACACAGAGAAGTTCTTGCCCACAGAAGCTTTTACTTGCAGAAGCTTTTATGCAAAGAAGCTTTTGTACAGAGAAGTCTTTACCCATCTTTTATCATGTCTCATTTTTCATGATCATTTGCCATCTGTCACCTTCATATATATCTTCGTTTTCATGCTCTTTTGGTCAGCTCCCTCTGTCGTTTAATTTTCATTTCGTTCTGTCCGTCCACGCTTCGTGCTCGCTCCCTCTGCGGCGAAGCAAACTAAACGAGAACGCAGAAATAGATAGCGACTAGACAGATGGGATAGAGTTAATTACATTAACAGAAATAGCGACTAGAAGACTGTAGGCGTAGCTGACACAGCATGCTGTGGTGAATCGTGGCCCCTGATACCATCAGTGCGCACGATGTTTAAGTAAAGATCTTACGTCGATTTCGTGCAGAGCACAGCTGGCCACACCCCAAGATTTTCAAGAAAAGGCGTGCTGTGTGCCGTCTTGCTTTTGGGTTCTCTGGCCCACCTTGTTTTTGGATAGCATATGGATCATATGGTAAAGTGATGTAAACTATGGACCAATAATGATGAATACCAGGCAACCCCACCAGTTGATACACCAACCCGTCATGGTAGGTGACCATCCTATTGTGTTATCCCATGGGATGGTCACAGGCCGAGCGCGTGGATGGCAGGACCCATTTCGGGCGACTCATTTTCAGATGGCATGCACATTTGACATGCGAATTCAAATTCAGAATTCACAAATTTTGTATCTTTGGTGGTTCGGTGGTTCCAAACATATTCATTAATATTAACCATTATTAACAGTATATTAACCACATATTAACCATCAAATATGATAATGGATCATAACCCATTAATATCCATTAATGGTATATTATTTTTTCCGACGATCGACCACAAGTCACAAGATGAATATTCGACCACCGGTGACCACATGTGACCAGGCCCATCTTCCATCTGGAAGCGAGATGAGGGTGACAGTCGAAGAACGGGCAATTTCTCAACGGTTCAAACAGCGTTTCGCGATGAGTTGACAACTGGAATACTATCCCAGATGGTATATTGCATGGTGATACATATCTATATATAAATATATATGCATACATACATACATACGTACGTACGTACGTACATACATACATACATACATACATGCATGCATACATACATACGTACGTACATACATACATACATACAGACATACATACATACATTACATACATTACATACATACATACCATACATACATTACATACATTACATTACATTACATTACATTACGTTACGTTACGTTACATTACATTACATTACATTACATTCCATTACATTCCATTACATTACATACATTACATTACATTACATTACATGACATGACATGACATGACATGACATGACATGATGGCTAGTTGAGGCTTGGTCCTGTCTGGTACATGAGCTTCGTGGAACTTCGTGGAACTTCGGGCTGCGCAGGGTGGCATCCAGCCGGTACAAAAAAAAGTGGTTTTCAAGCTTTTGCGCGTACATGCTCATCAGCCGTACTTTGAACTTGAGATTTCAGGCTTTTGCGTTCAAACCCTCATCAGTGCATTCTCGCACATCCTCACCAGCACCGTGGACTTGATGAGTTCACGCATTCGCGCTCAAGTTCTCATTAAAACGCTTTGGCAAATCCCCGGCAATATTTTGGGCTTAAGATTTCAAGCATTTGCGCGCGCATCCTCATCAGCAGCACTTTAGACAAGTGTTTTGAAGCCCAAGTCAACCGCTTGACCACCAAGTCGTTCTTTCTCCGTTCAAATTTGGACTTTGCGGCCGATGCGCTTTCAAACCTAGAATTGAAGCTGCCTGAGCGAACTTAAAAAATGAAACAGGCAAGAACGATGGCAAGCAGCCGACGAATGAGAGCACAGTCACATATAGGATCCGACAGAACGTTGCAAATACCTCTTGTTCAGGGCAAATGCGTCCAAAATGATTGAAAGCTTCCAGGATGCGTCAGAAAACGGGTGGAATCAGAAAAACGATCATGAAAACGGGAAAAAACACCAAAAAACATGAAAATACAAAATATATAGCAAAATTACGGAAAACAAGCTAAATTGCCCAAACCACACACCTGAACTTCGTGGAACTTCGTGGAACTTCGTGGGGGCCTCAAAATCTATGAAAATCTCCTAAAAATACTTGGTTTATCTTGGTTTTTTGGTCCTAGAACTTCGTGGAACTTCGTGGAACTTCGTGGGACTTCGTGCAAACGCACGTTTCCCTTAATTTTTCATGTTTTGGGTGTTTTTTGCCAAATCGCAGCTTGATTCACTGAAATTCATTGTGCGGATGTGCGTTTTTGTTGATTTTCCTACCTCTGAACTATCTTTGCCAAATTGGAGCTTGATTCGTTGGAATCCAACGTGAAAACATGTATTCCCAATTGTTTTAAATAATTTTCATATGTTTTAGCGATTTCGAGCACATTGGAAACTGATTCAATTGACTTCGCTGCAAAAACACATTTTCAATGATTTTCAAACCATTTTAGCAATGTTTAATTTAATCGGAGCCTGATTCACGAAATTATATTTGATCCGTGCACAAAGTCAGCCCTCGAGGCACCATCGCAGCAAAATTTGAAAAGACACATATTCCTAGGATTACAGAAGGGCAGGTTGCCACATGAAGACCAAAAATCAATGTTTCAAACCATGAATTTCCGATTATCGGACAAATGAAGGGGAAGGCATGCACAACAAGACACCGAGGCTCCTGCATTAGGAACTGCAGTGCCATGCTTACTTCCTGAATAAAGCAGCGGCGCAATGTCCTCCCCACATATTCACCTTTCCCTCTCCGCAAAAAAATTATGGGAGGACGACTTTCCTTTCCCGCGATGTCACTATGGATACTGTCAAGGCATCTGTGTGCCTGTGTGCATCAGTTCGTCAACAATGTGGCCTGCAAGAACAGAAATCGGCACCGAGCCTGCTCACCACCGCCCTCACATGTGTGATTGCGATGGCGCCCACATCATGCACACAAAGCTGTCACAGCCACAAAATTGCCACAAACCAAGGCGAAAACGCAGCAAAAGAACCCAATCAGTCCAAGTGATCCAACCGAGCCCTGTGGCCCAGCAGGGCTGCGCGCAAGGACCGGGCCTCAACTTACCATGACATGACATGACATGACATGACATGACATGACATGACATGACATTACATACATACATACATACTTTGGAGGCGTTTTGAACTTAGGCATGTTACAAGTTCATCGTAACATATGTTATAGCCTTCGTAACTTAGGTTATATCGTCCATAAGTTCACCGTAAGTTCTTCAAAAAAAATGCCAACTTATAACATACTTATGGAGCTTAGATGCAGAAGAAGGAAAAGTTACTTAGAACTTACAAGGAACATAGGGAAGTTACGATTTGGTTCAAAAAATAGAAGAATGTTTGAAGAATGGAAAAAAAGAAGAGAAAAACGTTTGTTGTCTGAAGTTTTTGGTTCAAGCAGAAATGGTGGCCGTGGAGAAGCAGCTAGAGGCTTCCCAATGCTTTTTGCGTGGGGTGCGTGCGTTGGCGTCCTACGAGGACATCGAGCAGAAGCAGCTAAGGGGGCTTCTCATTGCCTTGGGGAAAAGCAAGGAGCTGAGCACGACTCAGGCCGCTTCCTTGGTAGAAGCGATTGATGCGAGGCTGTGGTCGGAATCATCTGTTGAAGAATTGCAGCGACAGGTTGCAGCAAAGACCTCGCAAGTCGAGGGCGAAGGTGAGCGTAGACGAATGCAAGACTTCAGTCACATCATTCATTTCTTACCGCAGGAGCTGGCGACCATGATATTGGAAGGAAAAGGCACGGCTGACGCAGTCTTGCGAGCGCTGTGTCTGCATGCTGGCCTTTTGTCACTACGTGTGCCATCGGAATACACAATTGCAACCTTTGTGACCCTGGCGAACTGGAAGCAATTCTGTGATGGAATGACGGATAAGGAGAAGTATGTGTTGCTTCAGCGGCAAAAGCACTTTGTGCGAAAATGTTTGAGTGCCATGGATGATGTGACCAATCCACTGCTCGCATTGCCAGTGGAGTTTGGACAGCTACCTGCGCATCTTCGTGACGCTGCCTTTGGGGGGAGTTTGCCAGTGAATATGGCAGAGACCGGTGTGGCCATGATGCAAGCAGCCAGGACCATGCCGATGCGGGGGACGAATCGTTCCTTGTCTTCTGCGGCGTCTACGGGACGCGCAAAGGAAGATATGACGGCTGATTGGACTACGCGTGCAATCACTGCAGCGGTGCAGGGAGCTGTGGCTGCGAGCCATTCACTCTTAGCGCATGGTGGGGCGGCAGCGACGGCTTCGAGTGCGACGACTGGTTTGCCAAGTGCAGCCATGGAGGTGCGTCCTCCACCACTGTTGGCGCTGACCAATGCGCCGCACGCAGAGATGGCAGCGAAGGAGTTGATGCCGGATGTGGGTACGTTGGCTGGACGTGCGGCAGCGGCGCAGGTGTCATCGCAAGACGGTGACGAAGGGGCGCAACATCTACGAGATGTGGAGTCGCAATTGGCTGCCTTACGGGCCGTGGCGCCAAAGGCGACGGCGAAAGGCAAAGCTAAGAGCTTGTGTAAGAGACCAGCAACGAAAGCGAGTCTTCGGAAGCGCCCAGCAGCTGCAATGGCACCGAAGGGGTATTCTGACCGCAAGGCTTCAGCAGCTGCGAAGGGAAAAAGCTCTGGCAAGACATCTACGGGATGTCCGATGAGTGCCAAAGCGAAGGCAAAGCGGACGGATCCCAAGGCGGCTACGGTCACTTTGTCACGTCAGGCTAGGCGTCAAGCCATTTTGGCAGTGGTGCCCAAGAAGGTGCAGCTGCAGTTTCAGAATGGCTGCTCCAAGTGCAGGTATACGAATTGTACCGTATCCTGCTGGCGATCACGCGGCTTTGTCGCACCGTAGGTTGACATCGGGATACTCATATTGCGGTTGAAAAAAGTGCTGCTTGGACTGGTTCGGTGTGTGTGGCCGTTTCGAGTTCATGTTCGAGCTTCAAACATTGCATTTGGCATATCTAAGTTGAAACGGCATGCATGGCCATTCTGTGCGAAAAAAAATCCGATAAGACAATGGATTATAGCATGCAATAAAGACTTCCGTCCAAAAGGGCGTGGCGGCTCGAGCTGGAATAGGCCACCCGCGCCGTTCTGCCTTGGGGTGTACACCTGTGGGGGCGGAGGTCGGGTTCCCATGGGATTGGATACTTTGATGTATATATTTAGATCAAATATGTATATATATTTATATATATATATATATATATATATATCTGCGATGCCATCGTTGTATGTATATATATATATAGGGTCTCCGTGCTAAATGTTTTGTTCGGAGTGTCGTCCCCGATGTCTCCCTGAAGGACGCCATGGCGGACGAGAAGGACGATGACAAGGAGTCGTATTCCTATGTCTCAGAGGAGGAGGAAGAGGTGGTCGAGCCCGCAGCGGAACCCGCGCCGCCACGTGCGGCGTCGAGACCGCCACGCGCGGATGCGACAGCAGAGGGAGAATCTGCAGCAGCGCCACGCGCGCGGTCTGCTCCTCCAGGCTGCGCGGCGAAGTCGGCCGCGGCGAAGTCGGCCCCGGCGAAGCGTCGGACGAGGAGCGAGGACTCCAGGGGACCTAGCCCTGTGATGCCGCCGCCGCTACGTGCGGAGCGCCGAGAGGGGTCACCGAGGCGTGGCACTGCCCCGACACGACCCATGCGGTCCTTGCCGCCAGCTGCCTTAGATGAACCGCTGCCAGACGCAGACGAGAGGCGGCGTCCACCTGGGGAAAGTGGCGGAAAAGGTGGCAAAGGAAAAGGCCCCAGCGGCTATGGCAGGCGCTATCAATCGTGCCCGCATTGCTGGCATGATGTCGCCGTGACCCCACGCGGGTCAGGGCTATCGCAGCATTGCATGTGGTGGAATGGCGCGCCCATGAAATCAAGAGTCGTCGCGAACATGAGTGGGAGCCGCCTGGTCACGAAGAAGTGATTCCAGCGCGCAGCGCAGCCCATCGGGACAAGTTGGAAGAGGCACAGAAAGGCGAGGCACAGATGTTGGACGAGGACGAGACTGACCTCCGCAAGCCGGAGGAAGAGAAGAAGAAAAAAAAAGGAAGAAGCGTCGCCGTGAGCACGGATCGGACCCTTCCCCAGAACGTCCCCGCAGGCGCGATCGTCGCCCGCCTAGCAGCAGCGACCGCTCTGATGGGGGGGGGCACAAGGCCAAGCGCCGCAGAGATGAAGGCAACGATTTGGTGTGGGTGCAGGTGCCACGTGCATCGCTGGCCAAGTAGGTATAGCAAGTGGAAGGACGACCTCGAGCTCGCTGAGAGGGAAAAAACAAAATGGAGGTCATGGGCTCTCGGCTGAGTGTGGCTCCAAGGGTTATTTTCCCGCACTATGTCACCGCAGCTGTTTTGAATGATGTGTGTTCAACCGCAGCCGTTTCTACTTCCAAACAACTCGTTCCTGCCCGCATTGCTCCGCTGATGTCGCGTGATGTTTCCTTCTCTCTACGGCCAAGTGCCCTAGAAGAAGTCATCCATGCGATGACCGCTACAAAGCCAACAGATCCGTTGGAGGGGTTCCAGTCTACTTGGCATGGCGTACGCCAAGCGCTAGAAGACGCCTGCATCCACGCGATGCCCTCCGATCGGCGACTACTGTCGCGACTCAGTGCCTTGCTTCTCTACGGAGAATGGCATGCAACGCCATTGGATCTTCCGGCTCATCCGAAGCTGCCTGGCTACTGCCTCGTTCCAGCACAATTGGTCCAGCAGCCAAGTGCAGACCACTGGATCTATATCCTGCGGTGGGATTGTTTTGGAAGCAGGTACGCGTCTTCGCGGAAGCTTCTGTGCAGCTTGGCGTGGCACCTCTCTACGCGAGAGAATCGAAACAGGGAGTTTCTCTGGTGTCGCAGAGCCGCGTGGCTGCTGCGAAACTTACTGCAGCGCTGGCGGCGGGAGCGTGCCGCGGGGCAAACGATCCGATAAGGACGATGCTTTTCCGGTACGTTTCTGCATGACTGCGAACTGACTGCGACGTGATTGCGGTTGACTGCGGGAAAAATGCTCAGTTTTTGGTTTGATTGCGGGCCATGACTGCGAAGTCAAACATTGCTGGACTGGGATACTCTACCTTGAATGCCGTTGACTGCGGAGTCGATGTACCCACAGAAGCATGTGCAGCACTCTTGACTGCGATTGACTGCGGACGTGATGATCTTGAAACGAAGCAAATGTCCTCATGACTGCGGGAATTCAGGTGATTTCTAGGTTTTTTGCATGTCCGAGATGCATGTGTCTACCCGCAGCTTTGGCTCTTTTTGTTTCTTTTTTTTTTTGCGGGTGCGACGCTGTTTGTTAGTCATGGCAGAATCCACGACACAGGAGGGGAACGCTAAGTGCGTCATGTGCGGTCATGGCTATGGAAGTGCCCAAGGGCGACAACATGGCCGCTCCTTCAAATGTTGGAACTGTCTGAACGTGGAGCAGACAATACGGCGACACCTCGGCATGACCGCGGACTTGGCCGAGTTCTCCCAAGCGGAGACAGAGAATTTCTTCCGGGAAGCCAAGAGCGCGAAGGGGACCGAAGGCAAGGTGACTTGGCAAACGATTCGTGCCACGCTGCTGAGGCGCATGACTGAGTCCAAGATCTCCAAATTCGAGTCCAATGTTCAGGTGGAAGAATTGCCGATGAGTGTTCTTGTGGCGCGTGGCTGGGAAGAGGAAGTCGTGCGAAGGTTTCCTTCCGCCGACTCGGAAGCGCATGGTTGTGCCCTGTTCTCCGTGCCGGTGCGCACGCGCACGTGGGGCGAAACGTTCCAGGTCTGTGAGCAAGTGATCTTAGAACGTGAGAAACAAGCCACGAAGAAGAAGGGAAAGAAAGACGACGACCTGGATATTCCGGTTTGTGCTGGCCCAAGTGGCAAAGCTGAGGCCGATGACAAGAAAGCTGAGCGCAAAAAGGCCCAAGAGGCGAAGAAAATTAGCACGGAAAACGTGAAGATCGCAACGTGGGCGGCTAAGTGCCTCGGACTTCTGACCCCAGCGGAAACGTCCTTGACCAAGGTGATTGCCAAGGGAGAATCGGTGGCAGTGGCAGAACAAGAAGCCCTCAAGCTTTGTCGGGAAAGTCGTGGGAAGGCGCAAGAATGGATTCGAGCCGCAAAGGAAACGGTACGCCTGCAGGATCAGAACAAGGAGAAAGGGGAAGACGCCCAAGAGGCACTTGTGGCCTTGCCGTGTGACGCGTCCGATGTGAAGGTGCTGTTGAAGCAAAGCACGGAGGCCCAAAAATCTTTGCGTGAGAGCTTTCCCCAGCCAAAGGCTAAGGCCAAAGCGGAGGCCACCGGAGAATCTCAGCCGGCCAAGCGCCGCCGTAAGAAAAGTGAGCCATGAGTCTGTGGGACGCCTCTTAGCCTGTGAGCCATGGGCTCGTGTGGCCACGGGCCAATCCAAGAGCGGGTGGCACCCACTTTACATGGGGTGTAAGGTATAGTGTAGCTGCCCTTGCCGCGCGATGACCGCGTGACATTGAGCGCCGTTGTCTGTGTCGAGCAAAAGTGAACGGTCGTGGACTGCATGAGACGTTTTATAAGTTGGTATGATGGGTATACTATATAGTTGCTTGGGTTCAGTGTCCCTGCGTCACCATTGCTGTCCATAACATGTCCATGTCTGAAACCGCTTTTACCGCAGCCATTTGGCTTCTATTCCCACCCTTGCTTTCGATTGATGTGATGAAACGTAAACTTGCTGTGGATGCCACACCGGCTGAGCAATTCGCATGCCTGCGAGAAATCCCGGGGCTAAGCGCCGCGGATTGTCGGGAGGTAATTGCTCGGCTGCGGGACGATGGCAAGGGTGTGACCACGTGCCGTGCCCCAGCTGTGAAGTTTCCGGTTGCGCACAAGATGCTGCAAGCCGTCAAACTGCCAGGGCCTAAGGGCCTCACGGTGCATTGTAATTCCTTGTCGATGCTGGTGGCGGAAAAGGTTCAGCGATCGCCCCTATATGCGACCTTGCTGCAGGCAGCTATGAAGGCATCGCAGAGTCAGTTGACGCTCATCATCTTCAGTGATGAAGCGAATCCGGGCAATGTCTTGCATGCGAGACATCCTCGGAAGACAAATCTAGTGTATGCTTCCTTCCTGGAGCTACCTGTTGTCTTTGTAGATAGCATGTGGTTGCCACTGTCAGCCGTGCGAGCGGACGATGTGACTACGCATGAGACATCCTACGCGGAGATCATGCGACATGTGCTCGAGAGTGTGTGGCAGGATACCGAGCACGGAGTAACGGTGTGCTTTGGAGACTCGGCACATCTGTGCTTCATTAAACGTGTCTTGCTCTTGAATGACCATGAAGGTCTCCGTAGTGTCACTGGTGCTAAGGGTTCGGCTGGCGTGAAATGTTGCTGTCATTGCATCAACGTTCTGTCGCTTGGACGAGAGTGTCCGGAGGGATACGTTGATATATCCGAGAGTAGCATCTCGAAGTTCGTTCAACAAACGGATGACGGTTTAGCAGCGGTGCAACGACGTCTGGCTATGTGCCAAACGAAAAAGGAGCTGGCCCAAGTGGAAACTTTGTTGGGATGGAATGCCGATTCTCTCAGCAAATCCATACTCTCATCTGACTGCTTGTCAAGTTGGATTCAAATGGACAGCTTGTATCTGGACGCAATGCATCAATATCAAAGTGGAGGAATGGTGGGTCAGGAGATTGGCTGCTGGTACACGCGGTTTGTAGATTGCGGGTACTCAATCTCATTGCTGCAGCAATGGACCTCCCTAGGTTGGTCAGCTGCGCATGGCTATCAGCCACCGACTTTGGCAGTCAATGAAAAACTTTTCAGATATGAGCAAGATTACAGAGGTGACGCTAATGCGTGCAGCACGATGTTACCACTTCTTTGGGCATTTTGCATCGAAGTGCTAGTTGATGTCGAAGCAATGGCAACTGCCTGCGCGTCTCTTGCGGCTCTGTATGATGTTGTTCGTTGTCTCCAACGTTGCAAAATTGATGTTGCCAACGGTACGCAGTTGATGCCTTTGCAACGAAGACACATGATGAGCTTTCAAGAAGCGTACGGCGCTTCACACACAAGACCCAAAGCTCACTATGCTTTGCATCTCGCCGCGCAGATGCAAAGATGGCAGCGCCACATCGATTGCCACGTGGGTGAACGAAAGCACCGTCTTTTCAAACGGTACGTTGGGCCCAAAATCTCTAAATTGGAAGGTTACGCCAAGAGCGTGCTGTTGCATTTGACTGACATGGAACTTTCTAATCCGGAACCCAAGGAAAGATGGACGGGCCAAGTGCTCGGTGTTCTACGTGAACAGCCAGAGACGGCCAAGAGAGTGGGACTGCCCACGTCGGCATTGTTTGCAAATGGCATTGAGATCGGATGTGTCGAATTTGGGCGAGGCACCTTCCTGCGCATCTCCAAAACTGTTTGTGTTGAAATAATTGGCTGCGTTGTTGCCGAACCGGAAAAGTTTTTGCTAGTGCAACCACTCCATTGGCACAGTGCATCGTATAGCTATCGTTTTCCCAAGTGGAAAAAAGCAGATGGCCAATTGGCTCTGATGCCGTTGCACATGCTGAAAGGCCAAGAGCCTTTTCGCTTAATTCGACAAGATCGATCCGGAGTGTGGCTGTTAAGATGATTGCCGCACTATCCGGTCCTGCAGAACTGAAGCAATTCGACCGCTACGCTCTGCGTAAAAAAATGGACATCCGCGGGTCAACGGTTTGAAGCACACGTTGCAGGCATATACTCAAATCCTTCCAAAAAAAATCTTAAAATCCATAAAAAAGATAAAACATTAAAAACATTAAAAAAAAAACATCCTAAAAGGTGTGATGAACTTACGATGAACTTACCATGGACTTAACATGACATCTTGATAAGTTCAAGATAAGTTCATGCTAAGTAACATAAGTTCAAAATGCCTCCAAAGTACATACATACATACAAACAAACAAACATACATACATACATACATACATACATTACATACATTACATACATTACATACCATACATACATTACATACATTACATTACATTACGTTACGTTACATTACATTACATTACATTACACTCCATTACATTCCATTACATTACATTACATACATTACATTACATTACATTACATTACATTACATTACTTTGCATTACATTACATTACATTACATGACATGACATGACATGACATGACATTACATTACATACATACATACATACATACATACATACATATATACATATATATATATACATATATATATATGTATATATATAAACATGTATACATATATATATATATATGTATGTATATATATAAACATGTATACACATGGAATAGACCACTTGTACAGGGTTCATTAACATTAGCCACTTATACTTCTCCTAAAAATGGAAAGAGAGGCTCCAAGTCTTCGCAAAGATGACCCCAGTTTCATGAGGGGATTCAAGGGGGTATTTCATGGGGATATTCATGATAAATCTGGATAAATAGTCATGGAAACCATGATAACCGACCTATGAATTTTCGTGCCATTTTGACCTAGTTACCGCAATCCTCAGATGAATTGAATCTATGGTCACGTACCAGTGAGATCCACCCAAACTGTGTGATTCGTGGTGGAAATATCCTGATATGGGGGTTTCCATAGATGGGGGATCCCCAATAGCTGGATGGTTTATTTCATGGAAAATCCTGTAAAAAATGGATGATCTGGGGGTACCCCTTTTTTACGAAACCGAAACATATTTCTATACACCAACTATCACCAACTCATATCTGCGGCAGATCCACGTAGCGCAGTTCTGTTTAACAAAAATCAAATTCAAAAGATCCATCAAACAACAAGTCCGTGGTATCAAGGAAAAAACATGTCCGACAGACTTGGATGATGAGAAAACCAAATAGTCAGGCAACCCCAAAAAAATGAGTGGAGAAAAAAAAGGTTTCAGTTTCAATTTTCATCAATTTTCCCTTAAATCAATCCGTTGGTTGTGAAATCATATTTTGATTGATTACCCTCTGGTAAACTAACACAACTATGGAAAATCACCATTTTTAATGGGTAAACCCACTAAGAATGGCCATTTTCAATAGCTATGTTAGTTTACCAGAGGGTAAAGCCCACCTGGATTCCTAGTTCATAATGGGTAAATCCTCTGAGTTATCCCAACGAAATTTGAAGCCCAAAGAGTTGCACGACTCCCTCGATGGAAGGTGACCGTGACCGGTGAAACCGCGGCTCAACGAGGTGCCATAAACCATCCCACTAACCGTATCTGTGGGGTCACTTCAAAATACATCCGCTCTTTGAGGGCTATACTATAAATAATAGGATGGTTTATTATGGTTTATTGATGTTCATTGTTAGGTCCACTGAAAAAAAAACAATCTTTTTGCTTCCGTCACGGCTTATGGATTGGCCACGCAGCGCCGCAGACCTATCTACGCCCGGTTGCCATCAGCCGAAGCAAATCGAGGAACCACCGCCGGGAGGATGTGATACTCGAGTCCTTGGCTTCAGCGGAGATGTAGGAAAAATGGTGAAAAAATGGATGAAACATGATTAAACGATCAAACATGGTGGAAAAAATGGGTGGTTTCACAGTTTTGGAGAATCGGTCAGAGAAAATGTAGAAACATGGTCAACAAAATGGATGAAAGCAACAAAAGTGCTGGAAAAAATAGTGCTTTAAGCATCAAACAGTGCGAAGACCAATGGTGTAACATGGTTTAACTATCAAACATGAGATTTTACCAACAATAGATGTGTCTTTATCTGAAAAATTTATATATTAAATATGGGAACATGCCAAAAAATCAGTGGGTTGGCGGCACTTTGCCATTTTGATGCTAACGTTTGGGGCATACACATGAGAAGCGGTAGCCTATCTCAGGCTTTTTCACCAGGACAATGGAAAAAACAGACATATTGACAATTCACGATGATTCTGGACAAACTATATACTGTATATACCTGGAACCAAATTATCATTGTTTTCAAATTTTTGACCCATAAAATTGAGGGTTAATCATCCCAAAGAGGGCTTTCATTTGGGTTCCAGGTATATATATATATATTTAATACATAGGCAATAATCCTGAAATGTCTTTTTGGCGGATGCTTCCCTTAGTAATCATCATTCAAACAAAAGTTTGTTGTGAAGTGGACATAAATTGCCCAAATAGATTTACAAACCGGGGACCATGCATTGGAATGTTTACCATGTAGTCCTTTCTCCTTTTCTCTTGACCTCATATGGCACCACAAAATGAATCGCTTTGGTACAGAACCAGGGTTAGTAAGGGTGTATTCTTATTTTAGGGGGGAAGGGATGATACACTATCGACGTCGCCCATTTTTCCAGATGATAATGCGTGTATAGTTTACCTTGTATGATTTGGGATACAATCAACAAGAAAGGATATTTTATATTTTTATATAATTTGGCATTGGCTGTACAATCCGGTTAGCGGCTGTGAGTTCTTATTGCTGAGATCAACAACCTGAGTTTTTGGGTCCTTAACATTCTATACGACTGAATGCCATCAAACACTTATTGCCAATATCAATTATCAATGGAAAAACAACCCATGGGCAAGGACGTTAACTAGCTACATTGCAAACAGATCCTGTGATACTTGGTCAACACGGGAAGGTTGAATTTAACCATTTTCAAACCAACTCCTACCCCCAGCCGATTACGCTCTCAACTTGCCAATTCAGGTGAGAAGCTGCAATCTGTCTCCATCTCCCCATGATTTTGGGCTACCATCCCTCCCAGAATGGGAAACCAAACATGTAGTACAATTGTACTCCCATGAATTCAATTCTACTCCAATTAATTTATATTAATTTCCCATATGGGTATGGATCAATACCTATAAGTACCATTTTTAGTGGGATGAACATCTATTTACCAGCTATTTTGATGTTCACCAGGGGTACAAGGTTTTGACACACTGCCATATATGCCATTATATAGATCCGTATTTTCAGTGGCTGGATGCAACTTTTGGACCCTGGCACCCTTTGCAGCGTTTCACCCCTTGCATAGTAGTCACGCCAAGGCACGAGCGACGATCGGTGATCACATTGCCGCAGTTTTGATTTCCACCGCAGGCGTAAGCCTTGCGGTTTTGAAAAAAGGGCCGTCCCTGGGGTGATTCTTTGGCTGGGGTCTAAGCATTCAGTGGCATGATTCTTTAAGCGGTTATTGAACAATAATCTCACCAGATTTTTTTTTGTGGGGATATGTGTTTTTGATATATTAGTTAGATATGTGTTGATAGTCCGCAGTTGCGAGGCACTTGCTCAGTACCACAGGAAATTGCCGAATCGTCCCAAGTTGTCTCCAGCAGAGTAATGATGAACTTTGTAGATTCTTGGCAGCCCTAAATATTTTTGTGGCATTTATGACAATCAAACTTATGTCAAAATGTCCAAACCATTATACCAGTTTCGTGGATCATCGCCCCTTTACACAACAACACCATTTACATACTTTGACCCTCAATGTGCGAATAAAAAAAGTAAAACCTGTCAGTAGGACACCCAATTTATTTCCCCGATTAATTTTCGGTACTCAATATCTCATACTGAGTATCTCACCCCCTTCAAAAACACATGCAAAAATCTACAATATAGGAACCACAGAAAACATCCAAAAGAACATGTATCACTGTTGTGAGTAGCGTGTGACCTTTCTATCGTCTTGCTGCTGGCCATTTTATTGGTGCCATAACAACCATCACTTCCTGGCCACATCAAGGTTCAACAGCTGCAGGGCATCCCCACATTGGAGGAGACCCGCCCCGGCTCTCGGGTGATGGGTGGATGATGTCCGGGCGGGTCTCGGCCATAGGGTGGCTCCTGGCCCGGTGAAGTGTCTGGGGTCATCCCAATCACATTGAAGTTACAGTTATAGGTCTAGAAGTATGAAGATAGCTACAGGTAGAGTATCTTATATAGCATAGAAATATATAAAAATAACATTTTACGACCCTATCATGTATCATGGAAATTCATAGTTGTAATTTGTAGTCTTTTATTGCGTGTTTCCCCACCTGCCAGGTGAGCGTCTCTACACTTCATTAGAGGTGCGTCTTCTCCTCCTTCTTCTTCTCCTTCTCCTCGTCCCTAAGCTCCTCAACTGCGAGCGTCAGAGCGCAGTGGGCACCGCCGGACTTCAACTCTATGAGCTTCAGGCTTCAACTTCGAGCTCCAGACCTCAGTGGGCACTGCCGGACCTCAACAGCGAGCTCCAGATCTCAGTGGGCAGTTCCGGACCTTAACCGCGAGCCAGAGCTGAGCGGGCTCTGCCGAACCTCAACCGCAGCGCCAGATCTCAGTGGGCACTGCCGGACCTCAACTGCGAGCTCCAGATCTCAGTGGGTACTGCCCATGTCAGAGAGAATGTTAGAATAAATGCCAGATAGAATGCCAGAATAGAGTGTCAGTTAGAATGGCATGCAGAATAAGATAGAATGCCAGAATAGAATGTCAAATAGAATGCCAGAATCCCAGAATAGATTCCAGAAAAAATGTCAGAATTGATGCCAGATAGAATGCCAAAAATAATGTCAGCAAATATGCCAGAAAGTATGTCAGAATAGGGGTGGGGACGAAGAAAGTAATTCTTGACGCTTATCAAGTAGACTAAGTAGGATGATGCATTAAGTACTCAAGAAACACCTCCTGCAGTGGAAGAAACAGCGACGAACAACGCCAAGATCCACTAAACCTATGACCTTCATCTTTATATCTATATCTATAATTATCTATATTCAAAAGATATGTGATAAACAAACATGCACATATAATGCCAGCAAGTGTGGGATGTCACCAAGCAAACTGTGGTCTGAAACCCACGGGAAATCCATGGACGATTCTGCAGGGCGCAGCGGCTTCGGAATTGCGGGTTGTTAAAATTAATGCCTTTGTACACACGAGTGTGTTATATAGAGATATATGTATACGGTATATGTCTATGGTTCATGTGTTTGCGCTTTTTTGCGCGAACAAAGTCTTGTGGCCCGCAACCCGCTTACACTGACTGCGTAAAGCAACGTGCTTGCGCATAGCAGTACCATTTCAGGCAAAACTTGATCTTGGCCATGCATATCGATGCCTGTTTTCTTATCTATTGTCGAACGGCATGTAGGCACCAGAGTGAGTCATCTCTACCTCCATCTTTCTAGATAGATTGAATTGTAAGCAAATTACTATATATGTTCATCTATTTCCAATGATACAGAAAATGGTTTAACCTTGTATTGGACTGGGATTCCCTTTCAGTAGCGGTTACAATTGACATCTAGATGGCCCAGGATTGGATGCATCAGCCTGAGTAGCATCCCGTTTTGGATGCTGGGTACCATTCATTGCCAGTCTGATATGGATCCACACGAAATTGTCTGAGAAGGTACAAGACACCTCCTAGTCATCATACCCCAGTCATACTTCCTTTTAGAAGCTACGGCTGGATCCATGGGGGTTATGTGCTAATGTTGGAAGACCCCCTGGCTTGGTGCCTTGGCAGGGTCTCTACTCGCTGGGATGCTGAAAAACCCGATTATTCTCTGTGTCTCCGGATGATCAGCATCTGTCATTCCATCCCCATCAAATTTCATTGCATTGCCATGAGCTGTCGGTGAGTGATACAGTGATGCCCGTATTTCTTTTTATAACTTATAATCCCATTCTACACATTCTGGCTGAATTTGATCATCACCTGAAGATCGCCGCAGATGAAGGCCAGCTACAGGGATGATTCAGGATGATTCTTCACATCATTCCAGTGACTTGACAAGACGTGAGGTCATGACCAGATTCATCCATCTATATAATAATATAGACACTGTATATACAATTACTGTATACATACAATGTGGTGCCCCCAAGATAGCTAAGTTGGTTTATAACTCTAATAACTTACTAATAACTATAGTTTATGGTCGCTATATCTATCTATAATCTATAGTTGATGAGATTATAAACCAACTTTTAAGTGGGGGGACACCACATTGTATACATACATACATACATACATACATACATACATACATACATACATACATACATACATATATCTCAACATATCCCTTGTTGGATGGCTGTGAATCCAGCCGTCCCAAATTATAGTTCATCCAAATACATTCATTAGACCCATTATATTCCAAGGATATTCCCATGTCTTGTCGAGTGATTATACATGATTATACCATCAAAGGGAATTTCAGGATCCGAAAATGAAGGTACTGTACCATATAAGGCCATATTTTGTGGGAATATCCTTACATAGACCTTATATATGGTAGGTATCTCCAATTTAGGAACCTGAGTCATGGCCATTGATACCATGATTTTTGATGCTTCATCCACAGTGCCACGCCACCACCCCGTCCTGAACCTGCCTCGGCAAGGGAGGCGGAAGTCCGCCTGGAGGCAAGGCTGGCGCCGTGGAATCTCATCCGGAACTGAGATATACTGAGATTTGCCTTCTGGTTATTTAACTTAGCTATGGAAACCATGGCCCATTTATAGATGGTAAAAATGATCATTACCAAACTTCAAAAGGGTGACCTTCCATAGCTACGTTAATTAACCAGAGGGTAGTGACTATTGGATCAGAGTATTTAATGGGTATTAATGGGGATTGGTATTTCATTGTTCTTTCATTGGTATTTGATGGGTATTTTGTTGATATTTCCAAGGTATTCCATGAGAATGTCATAGTTTTGATTTTGTATTTAATGGGAGTATGTGAAAGGTATGAAATGGTGCAGTATCTATCGATCATTTAATTGCACCAAAATGTTTGTATGCTTGAGGCCTGGTTGGTGGTCCTGATCCAAACATCTAGTGAAACACATCATGGATGTCATATGGTCAATCCGGTTAATTGTCCCAAAATAAGGATGCAAATCAAACCAACAAAAAACATTGCTGTTCGTCACATCCCTACATCTATAGCTGTTTCAAAGTCTACTGTTAGTCATTAGTCAAGCAATGGGTGCCATTGCACCCTGGCCCTTGGGCATCAAAACTACCACTCTTCGTGGGACCATACAAGAAAAACATATGGGAACATCAGCTTGGGTGATTGCCAGTGCCAACTTGGATTTCCAACATCCTTTGCTTCCAAGTCGATAAGTTCTCGAAGTTCTCAAGTATTGGACCCCAAGGAACAACACTCACATATAGTTCTTGGGTCACAACACTCACGCCCCAGCTCGCCATCATTTCTGAAACAATTGAAGATGCTAAGGCTTCTTCGGGGCGGTGCCTAAAAAATGTATATACCTAAGATTCAGGTTCTGTGACGCACCAGGCCGTGGATAGAGCCATGCCTCCTGCCCCATCGTAGGCATAGGGGGCTCCTCCTCCTGCTTTAAAATGTGAAGCACAGAAACAGCAAAATTACAACCACATATAACTATATATATATATATATAATATTATATATATAATATATTATATATATATATAATGTAATCAACAAAAGATACAATACTGTACTTCTGATCATACAAGCTATTCTACGAATACTAGAAAACATCATACTGATAATACTATACACAGTAATGACAATGATCATGATGATAACAATGGGTGAGTTTTTAAACAATCAAAACAACGCCGCAATAATGGTGATAATCATATGATAACACATTCATCCACATTCTGGTGAATATCAGCCAGTGATCAAGTGATGTCTTATGTCACTTGTCAGCCAATATTCAGCATTACATGATATGTTTAAATCCAGCAGCATCACATGGTACTGCCGATTGCAGAAACCACCCCACTCCTCGATTTGGCTGGGCCTCACGTGTGTCGAGAAAGGTTGTTGGGTGGGTTCTTGCTTCCGACCTGAAATCAGCTATTGGATATTGTTCATAGGGAAAAAACAATGTTTTGTTTGGGTCCTTGATTTTGATCTGGGTGTCAAGGAGGATTTCTATATGTTCATTGCTTTACATGGAAGTAATGAAATGCATGGCTTCTTCAAACACGGGATCCCATAAACTACAGGATGCTAAAATTTTGGCATTTTCAAATTTCAAAATACACAATATATAAAAAAACAAAATCAGCCAAAAAAGAACATCTGAGCACTTCAGGATCCATGGCAAAAATCTAGGCCGCGTTCAACACTTCAACATCCAAAATTTCAGCAACTCTGAAGGCCACGTCTTCGCCTGGAAGCCTGCAGCTGGCAGTGCCTCGTTTGCCGGGTGTGCCTCGCGGACCGGTTGAGAATTACTGCAGTCGATGCTGCAGAATGCTCTTGTCTGTGGGGTTGCACAATGCCAACACATGTCTATATATATATATAATAGTGACAATAATACCAGTAATAACAATAATAACTAACAATAATAACAATGATAACAATAATAAAACTAATAATGATAGCAATAATGTAACGCGGTTATACATGCAACAAACATAACATATATGTTCATCGATGTATATACTGTATATATATATATTGATGAATTGATGTATATAAAGCTTTTACATTAATATCACAGATATCTACACATTTTACGTGTGTAATATTTTTGAACACATGATTAATGTAACCCCGCCCACATGATTTGCAAAGATACAACGTTAAACATATTACCCATATTACCAACATTACATGATTTGCAAACAACATTAAACCATCTAAGGTTTTTATGAACCCCGCAAACTCCTCTTGTGCTCTGCCAGATGTACAAACGCCTCTACCCGTCGCCCGCCAGGTGAAGGCGTCCGCTTGCTGGGCGCCTCAAAAAATCAACCAGTCGCATAAGGACCTGCGTTTTGTAACATTAGTTGATACCCTCTGGTAATTTAACATAGCTATTGAAAATGGCCATTTATAGTGGATTTACCCATTAAAATTGTGATTTTCCATAGTTATGTTAGTCTACCAGAGGGTACATTTTGTAAGTCTAAAACATATGGAAACTTCAAGCTGTCACGACTTTTTTGGACCAGGATTTCATGTGTCTTTTTTATCTGCAACGGATTTATAACCATGTGCATGAACCATCATACTAAGTGGGATGCACATCCAATTTCAATACAGTGGGCGGGTGTCACGTGCCATCTGCTGTGTCCAGATCCTCATCAGAGCTGCCGCCAGCCCAACCACACAAGGAACCGAGGATAAACAGACCAAAAAAAGGATCCACTGTTTGTTTTTAATCTTTGAAAACATCATCCTAGAGCCTCAGATGGGTTCCAGTGCTAAGTGAGATTATGCCAGGAAGGCCAAACCAGGGATCTGGATTTAGCGTCCTTGTTAGCTTTTGCTAACGCGTCGAAAATCGTATCATACCTTATGGCAAGCCTTTTGTTGTGCTTTGTGGTTGCGAGGCCAACCAGATAATTCTGGTGAAATTCTCATGTGCAGTCCCTCACTTGCCCTCAAGAGACGTGTTAGCACGTATCAATATTTTGGGATTAGTAGAGGTCACTTGATGGTTCACAAACTCATTTTGTCCCATTAATATCCCATTTATTCATCATCTATAGATGATTTTCCCATGAATATCCCGGTAGGTACCCATTAATATCCCATTAAACTCAAAAGATGATTTTCCACTTTAATTCTCGTTCATATCCCATTCGCCCCACCATTACATCCCCATTAAACTGTGCTCTGAAAGTGCCTGTGGATCCCCATAGCAGGGATGTCGCACTTGCGGCGCTGGTGCAGGTCGGGCCCCCGCTGCTGGTGCCTGTCGATCGTGGCTCTGAATAGACAATGGAACATCTCAATCAACAAATATAGAAGAGTCTGGATTTCAATGAAGAGTCTGGATGCAGTTCAGAATCTGGATTAGATGATAAATCTGGATTGAATTCAGAATCTGAATTTCATTGGAACCCAAATAATTCAACAACTAGCAAGCCGTAACAAGCCGCTAAGCTGGGATTTAATTAAGGAGGCCACCCCAAAAAATAAACAATATTGGCTTTAGATTCCCATGTACTAGATTTTACCAATGTGGAGAAGAGTAACCTTTGACAAACCCAGGTAATATCAACTACATCAAACCCAAGTTAAACTTGCAGAACCAACAGCTCAGAAGCCAAGAATGCTGATTCAACGAGTAAAATGGAGATATGCTATAGCAAGCACTATTGTGACTAACTGTTGACGTTTTCCGGATCAACCACAATATATATAATATAATATAACATAATATAATATAATATAATATAATATACAATGGGAACATGATTGTATATTACATTATATATATGTTGGTTCCTTGTAGTTTTTTGGCGACTGAGTTTCACTTCACCTTTGATGCGACTGCCATAGTTGGACTCCACGAGTTTGCGCTGTCAGAGCGCATCTCTGGCCATTTCTTGGGGCAATCGACCGAAAAAATACTAATATTTGTGGCATAGAAAAAACTCATCACAATTTACCCAAGATCTACCCAATGATGATCTAAATCTAGACAATTCACTGCAGGACAGAACAACTTTAACATGTCACTTATGTTTTCTTGGTTGCGCCACTATCGTGTTTGCTAACATACTATATTAAACGTGGATATATATATAATTATATATGTATATATGTATATATGTATATATGTATATATGTATATATGTATATATGTATATATGTATATATGTATATATGTATATATGATTATATATGTATATATGTATATATGTATATGTAAATATGTAAATATGTAAATATGTATATATGTATATATGTATATATGTATATATGTATATATGTATATATGTATATATGTATATATGTATATATGTATATATGTATATATATGTATGTGTATATATATATGTATACACATATATGTATATAATCCCTTCCTCCTAATACTAAACGTCCCCCAAATACTAAAAACAGGCGTCCATCTCCAATTTCAGAAAATTTCAGATTGGCCAATTTGATTTTTAATTGATCCCCTTTAGAAAAAATAAAAATCAACCAGCCATTTGTGGGTTTTCCCCCCTAAAACTAAAAACTAGTTCACCCCGGGGTGTTTATTATTCGGGTCCGTCCGATTTTTTTGTTTTTTTATATTAAGGTTTTTAATTTAATATTAGGGGGAAACTTCGAAATCCAATTTTTGGCAATATTTTAATCGCGTTATATAAAGAAATTTCATTGATTTTGAGATCGGAAAAATAGTTTATATTATTAACGGTTTTAATTTAATATTACGGGGAAGCTTCGAAATCCAATTTTTGGCAATATTTTAATCGCGGTATATAAAGAAATTTCATTGATTTTGAGATCGGAAAAATAGTTTATATTATTAAGGGTTTTAATTTAATATTACGGGGAAGCTTCGAAATCCAATTCTTGGCAATATTTTAATCGCGGTATATAAAGAAATTTCATTGATTTTGAGATCGGAAAACATGGTTTTTATTGAATCATTAAGGGTTTTAATTTAATATTAGGGGGAAGCTTCGAAATCCAATTCTTGGCAATATTTTAATCGCGTTATATAAAGAATATATAGGAAGTCATGTTTCAGGCACATTTGTGACTCTATTTCCTGCCCTGAACGATGTGACATCCGCCGCACAGAGGCCACATCAGCACGAGGCCTGAAGCTGGCCACTCCACGAGAAGGGAGTGGCGATGCCAAAGGTGCAAAAAGCTTTGAAGAGGAGCGATGGTTTGCCATGGACCAATGAACAGTCACTTGCTCATGAAGGTCTGATTGGAGATAAGGATCAAAGTGAATGTGATGGTCATCATGATCTATACTAACAAACCTGCGGATATCTATGTAGAACCTTGGATATCAGGGATGGGTCTCGCTATGTATGGATGCCTGACAGCGTCCATGGATTGAAGCCCGCCTTGTCCGTGAGTGTCTGCAACGTCTGCACCGTCAAGCTGGACAATTGAACTGCCGTTGCTGCGCTTGGAAGCAAAGCACGCAGGCACCAACTCTGCCTCGCACAGACACAAACGACGGCCAAAGCCACCAAAAACATCTGATGCCTCCAGCGCTGGAGAGACACTAGTGGAACTTGACTTAGCGTCGACCAAAAAAACTTTGGTTCCAAAGACCTCCGCCATGGCATTTGAAGGTCATCTATCTGGCTTCTGACATTCTGTGTGGCATACTTTCTCACATGTTATCTGGCATATTTTCTGAAATTCTATCTGGCATACTTTCTGTCATTAAGTCTGGCATGCTTTCTGCCATTCTATCTGGCATACTTTCTGACGTTCTATGTGACATACTTCTTGCCATTCTCTCTGGCTTATCTTCTCACATTCTATCTGGCCTAGTTTGTGGGCATTCTATCTGGCAAACTGTCTGACATTCTATCTGGCAAACTTTCTATATTGTGCTGCCGGGCACAAAGGTCAGAAGCTCACCGTGTAGTGTCCGGGTCCAGCAGTGCCAACAGAGATTAGGCGGTCGCCGTATGATATGGTGTCCAGCTCCGCCATTGGCATCTGGAGCTCTCAGTGTTTGGGTCTACGGATATTGATGGACATCCATGGATGTCAGTGCCTACTTATGGACATCTATGGAGATCTATAGATATGTGGATATTTAGCTACATGGGGCAATATGTTTGTACACCTTGAACCTCTCTAACAAACCTTGCAGAAACCAAATTATAGAACCAAACGGGTGGCTACAGGGGTAATCAAATGGCAGACCGTGTGGCTTGCATGTGGACCCAGAAATTGAAATCTCGGAAACGAATATTTGAACAAAGTCACACACACACATCAACCAGGCAAAGGCCAAAAGGCTTTCAGAGCAGAGACTGATTCTCACATTGAAACCGAGCATGCTTTGGTTCAAATACCAGGCGGTAAGCTCAGCTATTCCAAAATCACGGGTTCAGAGCTGTTCATCCAACCCACCTGCAGGCCTGCATAGGCCGAGGTGCGCCACCGCCGAAGCCGCCCAAAAGCGCGCATGCAATAGCAGCCGCGCACCAGCCAGCTGCCAATGCGCGCTGCCGCAAAATGAAAAGGTGGGATAACCACCGGCAGAGTCACAACAGCCACCAGCTGCACTTCGTGCCCAGGTGCGCTGCTGCAAAATGATAAGGTGGGAAAAATACCTGCAGATCCACAACAGCTGGTAAGGTAGGACAACCACCTGCAGATCAACAACAGCCACTAGAAGCACTATACGTGCCCAGGTGCGCTGCTGCAAAATGATAAGGTGGGATAACCACCTGCAGATCCAGAACAGCCACCAGCTGCAAGGCTTGCCCAGGTGCGCTGCTGCAAAATGGTAAGGTGGGATAACCACCGGCAAAGCCAAAAACAACCACCAGCTGCACTATACGTGCCCAGGTCCGCTGCTGCAAAATGATAGAGGTGGGATAACTACCTGCAGATCCCCAGGTGCGCTGCTGCACCATGGTACAGTGGGATAACCACCTGCAGATCAACAACAGCCACTAGCTGCACTGTACGTGCCCAGGTGCGCTGCTGCAAAATGATAAGGTGGGATAACCACCTGCAGATCCAGAACAGCCACCAGCTGCAAGGCTTGCCCAGGTGCGCTGCTGCAAAATGGTAAGGTGGGATAACCACCGGCAAAGCCAAAAACAACCACCAGCTGCACTATACGTGCCCAGGCGCGCTGCTGCACAATGAAAGGGTGGGATAACCACCTGCAGATTAACAACAGGCACCAGCTGCACTGCGTACCCAGTTCCCGCAGAAGTTGTGACATATGGTTTGATATGGTGGCTAGCTATATCGATGGATATCTATGGATATCTTTGGGTATCCGTGGATATGCCTTCTGTTTTTATCTATGGCTATTTGTGGATATCGAAACTCAAATATAAGTACACATTTGTATGGAAATATTTATATATACATATATATATATATATAGACATCAGCGGCTATCTAGGGAAAACCAATGGATGGAAATCAGTGGATATGTCTGGGGGTCTATGTATAGAAATCCATATATAATACATCAGCGGCTATCTATGGAAAACCGATGCATATGTCTGGAAATCAATGGGTATTGATGGATCATCTGCATGGAAATCTGTGGATGTGTCTGGGGGTCCATGGATAATCATTGGTGCTTCAGTGACTCTGCATGCAATACGGCGGTGGCAAACCAGCTGCAGGCTTGCGTAGACCCAGGCGCACCACTGCGAACATCCGCACAAGCACTAGCAGCCGCGACATTAACAGCTCCGTAATGATAGGGTGGGTTTACTACTTGCAACCACCAGCTGCACTATACGTGCCCAGGTGCGCTGCTGCAAACTGATATAAGGTGGGATAACCACCGGCAGATCCACAACAGCCACCAGCTGCAATGCGTGCCCAGGTGCGCTGCTGCAACATGGTAAGGTGGGATCAGATCCACAACAGCCTTCGTCTCACTTTGTTTGGCAAAAGCGCGTTTTCGTTTCGTTTCTATTCACATTTGAAAGCTGACTGCTACTGCCTTGGCTGCAAACAAACCTGTACCGTATGAATGCCACTAACAAAGCCACAGCGGCTTGCTGCGCTGCTCCTATTGGCCTGGTGATAAAGCCACCACTACTTCAACCAAATGCCACTGAGCATCAGCTTGCTTTTCCCAATGGTTTCGACAGGATGCCACTAAGGCGTCACAGATCTAGAAAACAAAGCAAAAATCTTTCATTGCTTTTTGTCTTCTTGCAATTCGTTAGTGGCATTTGGTCCCCGACAATAGGATTTGCAACGTAGACGTTGGTGGCATTTGACCCGCAACATAGTAGAATTTGCGTCCTGCCAATGGGTTTGGCGTTAGTGGCACCGCCAGTGGCATTGCGTGTGACCTAGGATCTGTCCATGCCATGCAAGGCTAGTAGCCTATAGGTCTCGTGTCCAACAACATTCTTCCATCGAATCTGCTTTTTCTTGCACCACTTCAGCGGCAAGTCAGCGCACGTCTGCGCAAGGTGACACAGCTGCAGCTAAGCAAGCTTTGAGCTTCTTGAAAGACTGCCGCATGTATAGTTTTTCCTGGCCAGCAGGAGAGTATGCAGAGCATACAGTGAGACAAGGAAAGGCGACTGGTGCCTTAGGCACGGCCATTTGGTCGGGAAGGGCCAGGAGCGACGTGAGGGCAGGCGACTGGTCTTGGGCACGGCCATTTGCTTGGGAAGCGAGCCACAGGCAACTGGTGCCTTAGGCACGGCCATTTCCTTGGGAAGCTCTCAGGGCCGGGAGCCAAGTGAGGTCTTCAGCGGCCAGCTTGCCAGCTTGCTGCAGGATTCGGCGGCGCTTCTTCTCCTGTGGGATCTGATGCTAGATAAAATGTTTTGCATGGTTCACACTTCAACCACGACCTTTGTTGTCTGCCTGTGGAAATGCTCCCGCCTGCACCTTCACTTCTCGACTGGCTTGCTGCAGCTGCCTCTTCAACTCTTTGCGCTGCGCTCTGGAGCTAGGACTGGCGCAGCGCGGCCGTCGGCTTGCCCATCATCACCAGCAGCACCATCGACTGACGACATGGCTGAGGAGGCTTTGAAGCTGCTGCGGCTGCTGCGACCCAAACACTGCAGGGCGACAGGATCCACGGTGTGGCTCATGTGCATCAGTGTGGCTATTCGAAAGAAAAGCCGGTCACACCCAATGTCCAAACACTAGGAGTTATATAAACAGTTAAACATTGGTTTGAACTGCTAATTTCCCAAAAAGAAAATGACAGCTTGCACCCAAGGTTTTCCAGTTATGCGGTGACTTCAATCATTGGCAAAATTCCACACTGCAATTACACCATGCGCTGATCATGGTCTCGGCTTGCGACCCCAAAAATGGAGTCGCAAAACATGTCCAAAAGAATCTCTTATACCATGTACCCTCATAGTATATATATATATAAATAACATATATAAGGGGAAACCCGCCAAACCCCACATACACTCCACAGACTCAGCAACAACAGCTGCGCATCAACCAATTTCAAGTCTATAAGTGGCAAGACTGCTTGAAATGACCAATAGTTCCAAAGATTTCAATGAAAAACCCGTGAGCAGACTACAAAATACCCAAAAAAATGAGTAAAACTTAGGCGCAAGTTTTTGGTGGCTTTTCACGGGTTTTTTCACGGCCATTTCACGAGTTTTTCACGGTCGTTTCACGGACTTTTCACGGTCCAGATTTTGTGGGAAATGTCAGGCAGGTACTTTCACCAGATCATATTCTGTTTTGTATTTGGTGACATCATGATCTAAGATGCAGACGTTTGCGCAGAGCCCGTGCTCCCAGGCGCATTTTAATTGCATCGAATTGAACCAAATGGCCTTTTTATCCACCTATCTATTGACCATAATTTCCCAACATGACATGTGAGCTTCCTGGACAAAGTATATAATTAATGGTTATAAACATAGCTAGATAAAGGAGCATCTTCCAAGAGCCAGGTTAAACCTGGCCGTTAGTAAAGACCAGGTTAAACTAGGTCGAGGAAGCGCTGGGTTATATAAAGAAATTTCCATTGATTTTGAAATCGGAAAAATAATTTTTATTATTAAGGGTTTTAATTTAATATTAGGGGGAAGCTTCGAAATCCAAGTTTTGGCAATATTGAGAAATCGCGTTATATAAAGAAATTTCATTGATTTTGAAATCGGAAAAATATTTTTTATTATTAAGGGTTTTAATTTAATATTAGGGGGAAGCTTCGAAATCCAAGTTTTGGCAATATTGAGTAATCGCGTTATATAAAGAAATTTCATTGATTTTGAGATCGGAAAACATGGTTTTTATTAAATCCTTAAGGGTTTTAATTTAATACTGGGGGGAAGCTTCGAAATCCAATTCTTGGCAATATTTTAATCGCGTTATATAAAGAAATTAAATCACTTTGAGATCGGAAAACATAGTTTCTATTATGAAGGGTTTTAATTTAATTATCAGGGGGAAGCTTCGAAATCCAATTTTGGCAATATGTTAATTGCGTAATATAAAGAAACTTAATTGATTTTGAGATCGGAAAAAATAGTTTTTGTTATTAAGGGTTTAATTTTATTAATAGGGTTCCCTAAACATAAATACCTCCCTGATACTGAAAACTACCTGCCGTGTTTAGTAATAGCGGGGGGGGGCGTTTAGTATTAGGAGGAAGGGATTATATATATATGTATATATGTGTATATGTAAATATATATATATATATATGTAAATATATATATATATACATATGTATATGTATATACATATATATATGTGTATATATATATATGTATATCTATGTGTGTATATACATGTATATATATATATATATGTACGTATGTATATATATATATATGTATATATATATATGTATATATACATATACATATATATATATATCGTTAAAAATCCTTTTGTTTGCAGCGTAGACGCACCATCCCTGACATCACCAAAGTGTTGGCTGCAAATTTCACCACCTGCGGATCTCCGGCACAAGGATGGCGCCCATGCGCCTGCGACGGAGATGATCATGGGATGGTCGGAAGAGTTATTTATTTTCCATATATAAAACATCTTTGATCCCATAAGTGGGGATGTTCCATGCTGATCTGGGGGTATATAGCCCCTTCACCAAGTGGGACGCACCAAGTACTCGGGGTATAAACAACTTACTGGTGTTTCAGCCACCAAAAAATAGAGATTTCACCGCGAAACCTGGTGGTACAGGGATTTTATGGGATCGCGGGTACGTTTCCCCCAGGTGAGTGGATTTGTCCATTAAACATGGTGATTTTCCATAGTTACGTTAGTTTACCAGGGGTAATCATGAAATGGGCGTTTTGGGACATCAAGTTCTTTATGGGGATGCCTGATGGTTGCACATAATGGGATAACCAACATATCTATGGAATGCATGGAACATACCATTTTTAACAGCTACGGAATCTACACACGAGTCATTTTCCAAAGGGTACCGCACCCATGGCCATCCCCGGAGGACATGTGGAGATAGCCATTTTCCCCCCCAGTGATAGCTGGGAAAAAACAACAGAAACCATGGTGAAACACCTATGAAATATTTATGAACCTGTGGAGGTTTCTATGGCGGAACCCCAAGCCACCATGAAGCCAGGATGATTGGGGGGACCCCCATGACTTTAGGAAACCTCCGTATAATATGTTGGTGATCTGGAAACACTACTGAAGTACAGCTAATTGCTGCTGCGTTCCTATATCACATCATCCCAGGTAAACATGATATACCATCAATGTGTCTGTTCTTTTCTATGGGTGCAATATCTCAGCCATTTCCACATATATATATATAGGTAATTGAGTGACGATCCAAGGATCAGAAATTAAAACTGTACATATGTATATATATATATATATATGTCTGTGTGTGTGTATTGAGGCAGATCTTCTCACCTACAAACATAAGGAGTTAATAATCATGACCCATTGCGGGAAGTACAACCTGGTTGCTAACAAATGTTGCAACACTAAAGAGAATGCTATCTGAATTGGGAGACCTCATTCCAACTGAAGGATCAAGTCGGGTTTGATCCCAAAATGGTGTGGGAACTCAGACTGTTTCTTTTGTTTCTGTTGCTTCGCTCTCAAACTAGTCCATTGAGTGGGTCAGACATGTTGAGCAATAAATAACCACTTTCCCAACACACCCTCTGGGGGTTCCCCTGGAGACTTTCCTTCTGTTAGTCGTTTCACCCCATCCAAAAACAACAAACATGAAAATCATCATCATCATCACCACCACCACCACCACCACCACCATATCATTATCATCATCCCACATGATCATGATCATGATCATGATCATCATCATCATCATCATCATCACCATCATCATCATCATCGTTGTCATCATCACCATCATCATCATGATCATGCGGCTGCGGGTAGGGGTGCCACCTGGCCGGACCCAACGGTCTGAGTCTGAGTCTGGACTGTTTGCAGCCTGCTCTTAGTCAGGGGCTGGGGTTGGATGGGGTGAAGCGGCCCGATGGATCTGACCTCTGCCAAGGGCAGGAGCAAAAAGGTTTTGTCTTTTGTCCTGGACGCCCCACACTCTGGCCGCACAGGCCCTCAGTCTGTGCCGTTGTCTTCCAAGGCGGTAATTGGGTTACCACTCTGCTTCCGACAGCAAATTGCGAGCCCTTGCCTCAGAGTTTCGCACTGAGTTGGTCGAAAACCTTGGTTTCCAAAAAATCCATAGACAGCTCCATTGGCGCCGCAGGCAAGATCTCAGGGAAGCCCGTGAAGAAATCCTGCGAAACTAGACCCTCGAAGAAGCCGGTGCCAGTTTTGCTGCTAATTGGGTCATTCTGAGCTGTGCCACCTTGTGGCGCGTAAATCCCTTCTCCTGAAACTAACAATAGGGGGTAAAAAATGCTGGTTTCTTATTGTTTAAACACTATTAACCTGATAATGGATTAAACATATCAGCTAACGGTTGTGAAACTAACCTGAACTACTTAGATTGAAAAACCAACAATCCTTGCTGGCGCCATCTCCTGAGCAGCGCCTCACCATAGCGGGGCTGGGCGCTGAAGCCGACCTGAGCAAGACTAAGCAAGCCGTGGTATATGGTTGCGGGGTGATTGCTCTGGATGGAACCTTTGAACTAACATGATTTCCAGTGATTGTATAGTTAAAGCACAGGAAACCAGCTATATTCATGGTTATAATATGCTATACGTCAGTCATGAATGGGGTTATCAATCCATAAATAAAGTGACTTACTGACTTATAACTGGTAAAGGGCCATAAGTGTAATAATTTCAGATCATCTTGTCCGCGGGAAGCAAAGCCTGCAATTGATCACCACATCTTGATTTTTTAAAGACAGACTTAAGATCGGGGACAAAGAACACATGTATCAAGGAACATCGTTTCACCGATGGGGAAGTGTCCATTGACAGGTCTGAATTACAAGAGGGTACCAACCCCAGCAGTGCAGAAAGACCTACGATGGCGATGTGCCATGGATGTGGAACCAGCAAGACTTGGGCTGTGACGAATGACACAAGACATGCCGCTAGTATCTACTTGATATATCCTGGCAACTAACTACGCATACAAAATAACTTGAATCATCATTTTTTTTGGGGTGACACTCTGATTCTGCTTTCACCAAAATATTTCATGTTCTGAACGTTTCACAGGTAACACAACGCAGTCTCTTACTTATATACATTCCTGGGACAGCGCCGCCTGGATGGCATCCTCGGAACAGTTGGAAGCGTTGATGCACGGGCACGCAAAGGTGCGCAAAGGCCGCTGCGACGCAGGTCCTTCTATGACGATCTTGCAAGAGTTTCATTGTGCAGTCTTAGGGGTCCGTAATGAAGATCTTGACCAAGGTCTTGTGGGGTCCTTGTGAGCAAATGTTGTGAAGATCCTGATGAAATCCTGTCAGAGGTCCTTGCACGATCTCGTACAGGTCCTTGTGAGAAGATCTTGTGGAGATCCTGCCGCGATCCTCCTCAAGAAGATGCTATGCATTGGTGCATGTCTGAAAGTTCTTCTGGGATGCCCCTAGGAAGTTGAATGAAGATCTTCTGAGATCCTCTATATAGAAGATCCTTCATTGATGATCTTTTGCACTTCTCTTCGGTGTCCTGGTATGAGGTTGTGGTATGCGGTCCTGATGAGTAGACATAGCGTTGCTTCTTGTGCCAAAACAAGTTCGCGTTGCTGCAATTACGACAATGTCCAGCCTGATATTGTTCCATAGCTACTGGTGCTTCTGATTCATTGGCCTCCCCCCACACTGTTTTGGGTCTTTTGCCGGTGTAATCATAAAGCTTCACTTTTTGGCTCTGCATGGAGAATCTTTGAGTTCTGAAATTGGCAAACAAAAACTGAAAAAACGAGATCGGCTGATTCGACGAATACATGTATACATGTATGCATTATGTAGGGGTGATGAGATAACATGGTATAATATCATACATGGGGGTATATACAGCGATTGGATACGCATAAGCATCATAGCATGATGTTTTACTACGGTACAGGTACAGGTCATCTTAGTTGTAAGGATTCCTGGGCAAACCATTGGTACCATAGGGCCCACCGCGTCCGCTCCAAGTCTTGGTGATCTCCCGTAGCTTTCAAGGCCGAAGCGGCCGCCACGACCCTGAGGCGCTTCAACCCGTCCCTCTGGAACCGCTCATCCACCCGGGTCATCCCAGCATAGTGCAGCGCCGTGCCACCATGGCCAGTCATTCTAGCGCCAGCCACCTTTGGGTATTTACCATCACTGACGCTATGGTAGTTAGTGCAATTCAGCCACTGTAAATTGGGAGATTATGAATTCAATTTAATCCAAGTTTTCTTGACATCAGAAATTCCCAATATCTCAATATGCAAATAAAACACATATCCCCACATCCACCGCACAGTTCACTATATACACCATCTCTTTAGCATCATCCAGTCAATGTCCCATCGTTCAATCGTCAAACATCATCATTGTATATCAACCATCATTGATACCCTCTGGTAATTTAACATAGCTATTGAAATTTGCCATTTATAGTGGATTTACTCATTGAAAATGGTGATTTTCCATGTTATGTCAAGTTACCAGAGGTTATATTGTAATCATAGCATATCATGATCTAAAATAATATGTACACTCATCCGTATTTCCATTGCAAAATATTGGTCCAAAAATATTCCCCCAAGTGTTTGCTATGATTTTCCATATGTTTCCTATAAAACAGGGGTTGGTAAATGTCCCATTTTGGGCATTCTGAACATCGCTTTCAGGCATCTGGAGATGAAATATCAACTTTTTTGTTGGGTGATGTTGAATTTTAGGACATTTACTAATAAAAACATTAATGAAACTATATTAATATACATTGTATGGGACCTCAAATCTAGTCAGCTAACCCCTGTTAGGAAAAAAACATCACCGTAACCTGGGGTGACGAAAAAAACAACGCCCCACCTGTGGATCCCCGTAGCAGGGATGCCGCTGTTGGGGAGGCGCAGCCAGGCCAGCAGCGCCCTGGTTTCAGGGAAAATCTTCACCGGAAACCCATGGTTTTTACCATCAAATTCATAATTTAATATGGGTTTCCTCTAAATTTTCCCATCATCCAATTTTATGATAGCTTATTTAATACCAGTTGCAATAATAATAGCCATAATATGGATGTCACAGGAAAATACTCTATGGGATCAACATGAAAATAATATATTCATATAAACTTATATCACATCAATAATTCCATAACTGGTGGATGGCTTTAACAATCTTGAAAAATATTAGTCAATGGGAAGGATTATTCCATATATTATGGAAAATACAGCATGTTCTAAACCACCAACAAGATAACTATATATCATGATTATTAATCCCCATGGATCCAGCCGTACATTCTTAGGAAGTATGACTGGGGTATGATGACTAGGGGGTGTCTTGTACCTTCTCACGCAGTGGCCATGGATCCAT